GTATGGAGAATGAATTGAACATGAGGCAACGGCGCTGGCTAGAGTTACTCAAGGACTACGACTGTGAGATACTTTACCACCCTGGTAAAGCAAATGTTGTTGCTAATGCTCTCATTCGGAAGGTAAATATTGAAAAGAAAAGGCCAAGAGCGTTGAGAATTGAAGTTGTCTCGACAATTGTGAAAGCTCAAGAGGAAGCTTTAGAGGGAAATGACCGAAAGGAGGAACGTTTGGGCAAAACGTTGGTGTTTGATACAAACGGTCAAGGACTGAAGGTATTCAAAGATAGGATTTGGGTACCTAAGGCGGGAGGAGTAAGAGGTCTTCTGATGGAAGAAGCTCACAAAACCATGTACTCGATTCATCCCGGTAGTACGAAAATGTATAGGGATCTAAAACCCTATTACTGGTGGCCGACGATGAAGCTCGATGTTGCAAAGTATGTGGACGAGTGTGTAACTTGTGCTAGGGTTAAGGCACAACATCAGAAACCGTATGGGAGTTTAGAACCTTTGCCTATACCCATGGGCAAATGGGAAGACATCACTATGGATTTTGTGACTAAACTGCCCAGAACAAGGAACGGTCACGACATGATTTAGGTGGTCGTTGATCGCTTCACTAAGAGTGCGCATTTCATAGCAGCCAACGAGAAATAGTCTATGGATAAACTTGTGAATTCTTATGTGAAAGAAATTGTGAGGCTTCACGGTGTTCCGTTAACGATTGTATCCGATCATAACAGTCGTTTTACCTCAAGGTGTTGGAGGAGTCTGTAAGAGGAATTGGGTACCAAGTTGTGTTTTACCATCCGCAAACCGATGGTCAGAGCGAATAAACAATTCAAATGTTGAAGGATATGCTGAGAACCTGTACCCTGGAATTCCAAGGTAACTGGGATGAACATTTTCCTTTAGTAGAATTTTTCTAGGGTAATAGTTTCCACTCAAGCATCAAGATGGCACCTTATCACGCTTTGTATGGGGAAAAGTGTTGAATGTCGTCATGGTGACTGGAAGCTGGGGAAAAGCAGCTTATGGGACTTGAAATAGTCCATCAGACTGCTGGAAAGTTGAAAGTGATTAGGGAAAGGATGTTAGCTGCTCAAAAGAGCTATGCTGACAAGAAAAGACAACTGATATCATTCGAAGTTGGAGATTCGGTTTTACTTAAAGTCTCGTCATGGAAGGGACTTATAAGGTTTGGTAGAAGGGGAAAGTTGAGTCCAAGGTTTATTGGACCATTTAAAGTTCTTCGGAGGATCGGGAATCAAGCTTACAAGCTAGAATTACCGGAAGAACTGGAGGGTATTCATAACACATTTCATGTGTGTTATTTGAGGAAGTTCATGGGAGGTGTGCCCGACATAATTCCCATTTCTGAATTAAGGTTGGATGAGAGCAAGAGGTTAATTGGAGAACCTGAGGCAATCGTTGACCGTAAGACTAAGAAGTTGTAACGTAAGATAGTCGATTTAGTGCTTGTGCGTTGGAAACATATAAATGGGCCAAATCTCACCTGGGAAACGGAGAGTGACATGGTGAGTCGCTACCTGTAGTTGTTTGCCGTTGTGTGATTCCGGGAACGGAATCATCCTAAGGGGGAGAGAGTTGTAACGGTCGTGTTTCTAGGCTAGGCATTAATATTGACATAATGGTCTAGGTTAACCTTTGTGACTCATTTTGGAGAAATGAAAAGGAATTATGTGAATATTATGTGTTTTATGTGTTTTATGCTTAATTATTAGGGTTTAAATAATTAAGAATAAAAATGAGCGTCAAAAATTAAATTTTAGATAAAGCCGATATCTATTAAGAAACTTGTGGTGTGTGTGACAAGGATTACGGATATATAAAGAATGTCGAAATCCGAGTTATAACGAAGAAGTTATGACCTGTCGTAGTTTCGCAACAAACCGGCACGGTGCCGAATGTCGCAAGAAACCCTCAAGGCTATTCTTCATCGGACTCGCCGAGTTGGCCATGCAACTCGTCGCGTCTCTTCAGTCCTTTCTCCATTCAGATGCTTATAAGCCATCCCAAAGCCCATATTGCAGATCTGAGTTCCTAGAGCATACTTCCTACATAAAGTTGCAAACTTTACGTACATGCAAGGTGTTAATGGCCAAAATTAAGCTAGAGAAGAGGTTCTAAGTGAGGATAAGGCATTATCTTGCTAAAGGCTGAAACTTTATGACCATAAGAACCAAGATGAGCCTAGATCTAAAGTTACAACTTCAGATCATGTTCAATACCCGAAATGAAACACCAAACAAGCTAAAATTGCCCTAATCTTTAACATAAAGAGATCTAGAAGGAGGAAAGTCAAGGTAACGACTTGTTACCTTCAGGTGATGCAAAAATGAAGTAGATTTCGGATCCCTCAACTGCTTCCTGCTCAAAGCTTCTTGATCTCCAAGCTCCTCTCACCAAGATTCACCTTCCAAGCTTAAAACACACAAAGATTGGGAGAAAACGCGATTTAGGGTTTCTGGACTCAAAGGGGGGCTGTAATGGAGGTTAATGACCCTTTAAATAGGGTGCAAAACCCCGGAAATTAGGGTTTCATCTTCCAGCTCCAACTCGTCGAGTATGTCCTCCGAGTCGTCGAGTTGGTCACTTAAAACCCGCGACCAAAACTGTGCCTACTCGACGAGTCAGGGCATCCAACTCGTCGAGTCGACCTTAAAAATTGGAAATATAAGACTGAAAGTTTATACCTGAGAGTCAGGGTGTTACAAAACATAGTCATACCATTATAATGATAATATAAGCCTTGGAGCCATGGCGGAGCCATGACGAGCTTTTTAGAACCTTACTTTCTATAATTAATTAAGGGGTGTATTTGGAAAATTTTAAAAAAACTCCTAAAAAACTAGTCTAAGTAGCTTTTCAAAAAGCTAGCTTATAAGCTACTTTTTGGCTTACCAAACACGACAACATAAAAAAGCTTGAAAAATAAGCTAGCTGGCGCGCCAAACACAGCCTTAGACTAGTTTTTTAGGAGTAAATATATCATTTTAATTAATTATAAAAACACATTCTTTTTTATGTCATTTCATATTTTTCAACTAGCTTTTCAGCTAGTTTACCAAAAGTCATTTTTTATCAGCTAGTTTTTCAGCTATCAGCTAGCTTTTTATTTAACAGCTAGTTTTTCAGCTAGTACGCCAAACATAACATTAATAGCAATCATCTTAACCGACTTAATTATATCGCTGATTGCTAGCCGAAGAAAAACTTCCGTAATCCGTCACCTCATCACAATATGGAGATCATCAAGTCCTCCACATTTTCATGCTATAAATAAGGGAGATATATGGTTTCCACTTACACATAGCTAAACAGAAAAAATGAAACCTCATCAAACACAAAGACAATCGAAAGGATCAAGGAGAAAGGAGAAAGCTTCTTTCAAACCACCCAATTTTCCCATCTTCATTTCTCCTTTTTTTTTTTTCTTCACAAAAAAATAAAGAAAAAAAAATTGGGTGCGCTTTTTCCTATTAACAAATTCTAAAAAATGAACTCCATGGGATCAGATAGGTTTAGAAAAGCAATCGGAAAAGTGAAGGATCACACTAGGATTAGCCTCGCCAGAGTTAGTAGCAGCACCGACTTACCGGAACTCGAGGTCGCAATCGTGAAAGCCACCCGTCACGCGGAGTACCCGGCGGAAGACCGGCACATACGAGAAATCATAACCCTAACAAACGACTCACAAATCCACGTCGCCTCATGTGTCAGCTTGATCTCCGGTCGACTCGACAAGACCAGAAATTGGATCGTAGCCCTAAAAGTACTCATCGTCATTCAACGCCTTCTTCAAGACGGAGATCGGGCGTACGAACGAGAGATTTTCTACGCCACGAGACGCGGCACGCGGTTGTTGAACATGTCGGATTTCCGAGACATGTCGAGAACCAATTCCTGGGATTTCTCAGCGTTTATTCGGACGTACTCGTTGTATCTCGATGAATATCTCGAGTATCGGATGCAAGGGGGACGAGAAAAGCATGACGATGAGCCGGAGCCGGAGCCGGTGACTCTAAAATCTCCGGTACATGGAAAGACGAAGGATAACCTATTTTCTCGACAACAACATCTGATGCAACTCCTGGAGCGATTTCTCGCTTGTCGCCCTACAGGTTGCGGAATAATTATATTATTTCTTCTCCTCCATATGAATCACCATTCACCATGACAGAAAACTTTGAATCATTCAGGTCCGGCGAGGAATCACAGGATTGTGATGGTGGCTTTGTACCCGATTGTGAAACAGAGCATCTATATGTATTACGACATGACCGATGCCCTGAGTATTTTGATAGGTCAGTTTAGAGAGCTTGAGATTTCAGATTCCGTCAAGGTTTACGAGTTTTTGAGACGAGTAAGAAAGCAGTTCGACGAGCTTGACAACTTTTACGATTATTGCAAATCTATCGGCCTTGCAAGGACGTCGGAGTATCCAGAAGTCGCCAAAATTTCACAAAAGCGATTAGATATCATGGATAAGTTTATAAGAGAAAAATCCGGAACGAGTCAGTACCAGACGGAAGAAGAATCAGAATCTGAGGAAGAAGAAGAAGCTAGGTCGCCGGAGCCGGACAAGAAAGAAGGGAAACTGAGTCAGGATGATGTGTTGAACTTGGGAGACGGTGGTCAGACAGTGGAAGAGTACGCTGATAAAGTCGGATTAGCTTTCTACGATGGTGGTCCGGCGAACCACCAGCCATCTCTACCTGGCGGTTTCAGTCCAGAGGTTATCGATGATATGTATCAACAAGCAAGGCAAAAGTCCGGGAACATAGCTGCCGGAAGTGCCAGTAGTGTTGCCGGATAGCCATTGAATGGCGGAGATGACCCGTTCTCAGCCTCGATTCCGGTGGCGGCACCACTGTAGATGGCGGAGATGGACAAGAAGCAGAGATGATGTGGCAGCAATATCAAAAAGATGGATTGCAAGAACGTAGGTAACACACACACACACACTCCTTTAAGTGAAGTAGGTTTGATACACAGTGTAGTGAAAAAGGTTATACATTTTTAAGCGCCTAAAACACAGTTGTTGATATCTGGCAATGGAACCTCGGTGTGTTTCTTTATGGAAACCCCTAATTGCATTCCAACTGTAACTAGGGTTTCCAGAGACCTTGCACTATTACCCAAAAGGTCCTCATCTAGTGCTATTGAATCCTGAAAAATCATTTCAATATTAAAATTACATGTTAGAAGAGAAGCCTCTTAAATTTGTTTTTTGAAATGTATTCAAACCTTTTGGAAGACACAGATGACAGTGCTTCCACCAAAAGAGAAATAACCAAACTGTAATAAATATAAATGGAAGAAAAGTATGAGTAAGTAAATGAAAATAAGCAGGAAGTGATTAGTGATTAATGATATATTTTTTTTAAACCTCATCTGCTTTCTGAACATAATCTCCTTTCTTTTTAGTGAAAGAGATGCTTCCGACCATTGTTGCTCCAATTGCCACAAATGCTACCTGAAATCAAGTTTCAAGAATGATATAAACTGTTTTTTTTTTAAAATTTTAACTCTATGTATAATTATTGGTTTACCTTGCCAAAATCTGAAGTTGATATAATAGATACAGCCCGTTTGTTCTCTGTGAAAACATTGCAATATTTGCTATTCACAGCAATGGGATTAACCTACAGATTAATCAACACATCAACTTTCAGTAATATATAGAAAATGTAAATTTGTAAAACATTTACATTTACAAAAATTAAATAAATAAAATCTTTTGTACATACTGTGTATAAGCATCCAGGTATATCAACAATCTGCTCAATAGTTCCAGAAACTGGAAAGTGGAAACGATGGTAATCCTGCCACATTTTGTACATATTTAGCTTTCTATTTTCTTATTAGGGTTAAATTCTAAAGTATATATCTTTAAGACTTTAATGGGGTAAAACTTTCTAAGATTTAATTATTTTTGTGATAAACAAAGGAAGAATCACCTGTGGTGCCAAGCGAAATATCACGAGGGTTCCATCAATGAAATCATTAGAGCATGGTAAATTACCAAGAAGCCCTTGGAGAGAAAACTTTTTACCCTTCAAGAACGAATATTAACCAAAGTCAATCAACAAATATGTAATTTCCAATTTCCATGATATATTATATTGTGAATTAAAAATACCTTAATCCAGAATCTACGACTTTCTTCAGCTGTTTTAAATGCCATTAAACGAGAATCAGCAGCACAGACAGCCACGTCATCATGTCCCACACAAGCAATTGGTCGTGCCCCAATTTTCAGCTCTCTTATAAAAAATTCATTAAATGTCTGCATACAAAAGCTCCTGAAATTTATAAAACTGATGGTAGAAAATAACAAAAAAATTATAAATTTATAAGGTGACTTACCTTAAAATGATCTATTGGGTACTTGACTTCAGCCAAATTGATTTGATCCTAAAGTACAAACAAGTCAGTTGAGAAATTTGTTAAAAAAATTATCTTTTCTGAAAATTTCATAAAAGTCTTTATATTCTGGTCTTATAATCAATTTAGTTCTTATATATTTTTTTATTCAATTAAATCCTAAAAACCGGCAATTGTAATCATTTTGACCCTTTTACACGGTCAACGGGTCATTTCATTTTCAAAACTTACACTTTTGACTCAGATTTCAAAATTTTGTTACGAATTCATCCTAAATTTTGAAAAAAAAATGTAGAAAAACTAAATTTATGATAAATTCGTAACAAAGTTTTGAAATCTGGGCCAAAAGTGTAAATTTTGGACCTAATTTGTAATAAAATTTAGAATCTAGACTAAAAGTGTAAATTTTGAAAGTGGGATGACCTGTTTGCCGGATAAAATTGTCAAAATGATTACTGGTGGTTTTTGGGATCTAATGGAATATAAAAAAAGAGTAAATTACTAAAATCGTCCCTGTGGTTTAGACAAAATTGCGTGTTGAGTCCCTAACTTTTGTTTTGCACTCGGATCGTCCCTATGTTTTCTTTTTATTGCATATTTCGTCCCTCACAGACCTGAAATGACTATTATACCCTTATTAATTTCTTTTTTTTAATTTACTTATAACTTATTTATAATTTAAAATAAAGTGGGCCCCACCAAGCTACCCACTGCCCTCGTCAAATACATCGTTCCATGACTCTATCTCTTTGTTTGTGAGCTAAACTGGAGAAATCTAAACCACCACCAACCACCGAACATCCGCCTCCGGAAACCACCCTTTCCGATCTGTGGTCTAAAGCCACCATTAACCATCAGGAACCACTCGATCATCACCACCATCAACCATCAGGAACCACTGTATTATTGTTCAATTTATGAACCCTAAATCACTAAAATCGAAGGCCACCACCAACCATTATCGGACCGCTGCAACCTTCCATTACCGGAATACCATCACATATATCATCTACTACGCCTCACAGCCTATCTTTGCAAAATCGAAATGCTTTTTTGTACAACGCTAGCTACTTCGCCTCCCTCTTTCTCTCGCTGAAAATGTCAGTTACAACCACCATCGTCTACTTTGCTTTGCATGTGCTCCGCCTCACAGCCCCAACTCTACAGATCGATGTGCCTTTATGTGTGTATAGCCATAGCTTTACAGATCGATCCTAGGTTTGATTTTGATTTCTGAAATTCGAAATAAGAACACAATCGATTTTCATTTTCATTTTTGGAACTAAGGTTTTGTGTTTGGAATGTGTTTTATTTTTGGTTTGTTTTTGATTTTGGTCTGCTGTTTGGTTATGGAGTTTGAAATAAGAACACAAAGTTTATTTTGATTTCAATTCTGATTTATGGAACAAGTTTGGTGTTTGGTTTGGATGAGCTATTTTTGAAGTTGTTGTTTGGTTTGATTTCTGAATTTCGAATCAACAAACAAGTTTTGATTTTGATATTGATTTCAATTTCTAGAACACAGGTTTTATGTTTGATTTTGGTGTTTCGTTAGTTTTGTTTACGATTTTGTTATTTGGTTGTTTCTGAAGTTCGAAAGAAGAACAGTGGGTGATGGAGGTAAAAGGCGGTGATTACCAGAGGGAAAAGAGGGTGGTGGCAGCTTGGTTGGGGCCCACTTTAGTTATTTTTTATGAATTATAAATATGTTATAAGTAAATTAAAAAAGAAATTAATAAGGGTATAATAGTCATTTCATGTCTGTTAGGGATGAAATTCGTAATAAAAAGAAAACATAGGGACGGTCCGAGTGCAAAACAAAAGTTAGGGACTCAACACACAATTTTACCCAAACCACAGGGACGATTTCAGTAATTTACTCTAAAAAAAATATATAATGACTAAATCGATTATGAGGTCAAAATATAAGGACTTTTATGGAGTTTTAACTAAAAAGTAAAAATTATCTTGCCTTAAAAAATTCAAGAAATGTTGGTATGTCTTTAGCAGATTCAATTAAATTCATTTTCTTTCCTTGCTTTTCTGATAAACTCTGCAATATTTCTTTTGCACCTGCACCCTTACAATATATAAAATACTAAAATACAATAAAATATATAATATTATATAAAGAAAAAAAAATACCTTTGTCCAAAATTCCAAGGCCTATTTTAGATTGATAAATAGCTCTCATTGACAAAACAATTTTTCCATCGATTATTTCTTCCACAAGCCTCTTTTTTTTACGATCAAAAACCTAAATGCCAAAATGTACATTAAGTGTAAATAGATAATAATATAATTACTATTTTTTTAAGGTTTAAAAGGTTTGATTTTGTAATAAATGGGAGAGAAAGAATCAAAGAAAGCATACCACAATATGTGAAGCACTTGAACCAGAGTTCAAGCCTACATCATAGGATGACACGTGGGCCCATTCAGATAGTTTGAACATCCACCTTCAAAATCAAAAAAAAAATGTAACATGTTGAAAGTAATTGTTATAATAATAAAACAAGTTTTTATATTTTTATAAATAAAGAAAAATAAAAAAGAATCTGACCCATAGGACGCCTGTTTATCAGTCAAGAATCCTCCAGTCATAACTTGGTTTCCAGTGCCTTCATCAAAACAGAGTGACATATGAATCATTGAATTCAATTTATCAGAGATTTCAAGAATCTCCCCACAAACAGGGCAACAATTCATAAGTGGCTCCCTACAATAAACAAACAATTTAATACATCATATTCAATTTTTCATATATTCTAAAATCAATTTATTCAAAAGTTAAATGTATAATAAAATATAATAACAACATACTTTTCTTGTTGCACAGCAAGAAGTGTAGCCAATTCATCCATGCTAACAACCCCATCTCCATTTACATCAGCTGCCTTAAACAGCTCCTCTTTCTAGTATTAAAAAAATAAAAAATAAACTATTTACTAAAAACCAATTATTAACATATATATTTAATTGAAAAATCGATATCAAGCACTTTAACATAATTGTGTAATTAAGGGAATGTTTCTTGTCTGGATAAAGTGATGTGCAGTTGTACACATAGTCTGTTTCTTTGGTTCTTTTCTAGACCGAATGAATCGTTTGAATATGATTAAATGACCATTTTACCCTTACATTTCAAAAACAAATTTCACAATCTTTATCAATCTTAACAGTATTTATCAAAAGTTGGGAGGAAAAAAGGACAAAGAGGTAAAGGGTTAGTGTGAATAAATCGTTTGAATAAGATTAAATGACCATTTTACCCTTACATTTCAAAAAACAAATTTCACAATCTTTATCAATCTTTAACAGTATTTATCAAAAGGTGGAGGAAAAAAGGACAAATAGGCAAAGGGTTAGTGTGAATAAATCATTTGAATAAGATTAAATGACCATTTTACCCTTACATTTCAAAAAACAAATTTCACAATATTTATCAATCTTAACAATATTTATCAGAAGTTGGAGGAAAAAAAGGACAAATAGATTAAGTGCTTAATCCTTTAGGCTCATTAAGTCAAAGAGAAATGGTCACTAAGTCAATAATATGAAAGAGAAAGATTATAAGTTGAAACCTTTTTTGCTGCAAGTTGATTACCAAATGCATTTATTAATTCTGAAAACTCAGAAAATGACAATTTTCCATCACCATTGTAATCCTGCACAATTATTAATTTCAAAGTAGAAAAGTATTAAAAAGTTGATGTGAACAAAATTGACAGAAGAGAATTAGCATGGCATACATACAACAATAGACAAAATCCTCCTTGCAAAACTTTTCTCTGTTTCAATTGGATCCTGTAAATTAAAAAGTTATATGTTACATAAAAACCATTAATAAAATTGAAAATGTGTAATATTATATTTAATATTTACAGCTCACCTCGATAGAACATGAGATAGATATTTTTCCAACTACTACATTTGATGATGATGGATCAAATAAATCAAACACTTCAGTGTCACTATCTGAAAGCTGCATTCATTGATTAAATCAACACCAAAAATTATCATAATGTTTCATATGAAAAATAAAATATTCTTTTTTAGAGAAACTTACTCGACTGAGAAATTCAAAAAGATCAATCTCACAATACCCAACCAGGTTGTTCTTTGAGAGTCTATTGGTCTAAATCATAACAAAAGGTGATTAATAATGAATTCCAAAAAGATTATTAACATAAATAAAGTTTAATCTTAACACAAACCTCAAAAACTGATATTTTTGCAATGTGTGGGCCATTTAACTCCAAAACAAACTTTTTCTCCTGCAGAAAAACAATAAACATGATGCCATTGCATAAATCAAGAGTCAAGACAATCTTTTTAGTGTATCCATAGCTTATATTATCTTTGTGAGTGATACTATGTTACTAAGATTCTCATCATTTTGTACATAAAGAGTTGAAAACATCAGGCTATTCACCCTATAAATATTCTTAGATAGTTGTTTCTTATGTGCAAATGAGACATAAAGAAACTTTGGATATTGATGAACAGACTAAAGAGATTCACTCACTGAATTCCATGTAGGCATGTTGGTCCTGCATGTTAATCAAAAGTAGAATTAAAAGATAATAAGATATATTGGTATGAACTGTGATATAACTACTTTTGACTTTTAGAAAAGACATTATCCCACTGAAAAATCACTAAAATAATATTCATCCATGGATGTTGTGTAGCAGGTCAAGATCTTTGATTGTTTTGATTGTCTTAAGTCTTAAGTCTTAACCATCACAATGCTTCATGATGATAGGACAACGACACAGATTAGAAATAGTGTTTACTTGTGGGAAAATTTAAGTTAGGATCCTTCATACTGAAGCCTCATGGTGTAAAACTTTCTCGATTAGATCTTATAGTTCATTTTAGGTTAAATTTCTACAACAGATCTTCATAAATAAACCCCCGAAATATGAAATTGGCTTCAAATAATTACACGCCCTATTCAGTTTGGGGGATTCTGAAAACATAACAACATGAATTTATATAGACTATAGATATGGTGTTATACTTAACTGGTCAGAAATGTCAGTGCGAAACGTTTGTTCTCCAATTGATATACAAGCAAGCCACTTGTCCTTGAATTTCATTTCCGCCTAAATTATGATAACGAAGTGTGATTAAAATTCTTCTTCACACCAGTTACACTGTTTAGAGAATCAAAACTCAAAACCTTACATTTATAAGAGTAACCAAAGCGATGCCAACGAAAGTCTCGTGACTGTTGAGTTTAGCATGTTGTGAAGCGGCCGGACGACGGTGGAGGTGTAATTTCTGCTTGATTCTTCCGCGAAACGACGGATGTTGTTTAGAATTTGTGCCACCGGATGAGGATGAATCTTCAGACTCATCCACTGAACTTGATTTCGAACTTCCATGGCCCATTTTCTGCTTTCTCTTTGAAAGTAGACTTTGTTCGGTTTTCAGATTCGTAAAAGTGGTTGAAAGAAGAATGTGCCTAGAAAATGTCAGAAAATGACAAAGGAGAGATTACGTTGACACGGTGAAAGGCGTTTGATTAGTATGAAAGGCTTTTGTTTAGTATAAGAGTAAATTACACGAATGGTCCCTATGGTTTGGGGTAATTTGCATGTTTGGTCCCTAACTTATTTTTTTAACTCGGAAGGTCCCTATTGTTTGTTTTTGTTACGTGTTTGGTCCCTAATGTTTGTTTTTGTTACACGTTTGGTCCCTGTCTTACCTAAAAAGACTATTATTTAAATATGAAAAAATGGTGGGGTAGGTAAGATAAGGCGAAGGAGGTGGGGTTGGGGGTATTTATCTAAATAAATCAAAAAATAAGGGCAAAATAGTCTTTTTGGTAAGACATGGACCAAACGCGTAACAAAAACAAACAGTAAGGACTTTCCGAGTTAAAAAAATCTGTTAGGGACCAAACGTGCAAATTACCCTAAAGCATAGGGACTATTCGTGTAATTTACTCTTAGTATAAATAAAATAGTGAATTACAAGTTTGGTCCCTTTGCAATACCATTTTACCATTTTATGCATGTTTGTTTGGAAAGTTTTATTGTTGTTAATTTGTCCGTATGATGACACTTTGTTGCTAATTTGGTCCCTAGCCAACCTAAAATTGTCTTTCAATCTTTTATATGATATTTTACTAACTTAATTTATTTATTTATTTAGTATCTATATTATTATTATATAAACATAGACATTGACCCACCGCTTCCACCTCCGTTTCCTTATCCTTTTATGCATGACAAAATATATTGTTATGATGGAGTCTTTATTTAAACCTAAAGAACGGGTAATTGGAACTCCATCTAAAAGGGGACCATATAACCAAGTTCATGAAAGCTCACCTTAATGCAAGGAAACACTAAAAGCACATAAATTGCCATGTCATCAGCCATTTTGTGACAACCCGAAACTTTTTCCGTTTCCATTATGCAATTTCCGTAATAAAATTTGAATTTTATTAATCTTCCGTCGAACCTTTGATTTAGAAAATCATCTGGTATTATATAATTAAACTTATATATGCAAGTCGAAACCAAAAACTGCGCGAAACTCGAAATATCCTCGAAAATCATCATGTTCACTGCATGAATGGAGTTCACGGTCGTAAACCTGTTTACGGCCGTAAACTCGTTTGCGGCCAGCGTCGGGTGGATCCCACCCACCGACCACAAAATCCCCTATAAATATGAGACCCCCAACCTCATTTGAACATTTCTTACCGGAAACTCTCTCATTCTATCTCTAGAACCTCTGGCCGTAAACTCCGTAACACCCTCTTTTCTCTCTAAAAATCATCAGAAAACACTCCTACAGGTTGTTTAAGAGCATATAAAACGTGTTTTCATCGAAAACAGCATCACTGTTCTTGAGTTTACGGTCAATCTTCATAGACCGTAAACCCATTTCCGACCGTAAACTCACCAGATCTTCAAAGGCCGTAAACTCAGTTTACGACCGTAAACCCTGTTCACGGCCGTAAACTGCATGTCGACCGTAAACACCTTTTAAGTGGTGCAGTTGTCCGAAAACCCACTTTTCCCGATTCGATCAAGTCCCGGTAACATCCCTTAACCGAAATTAAGTGTTTTCTAACACTTTATATAGCGAAATCGCTAATTTAGATACATATGTGTATTTATTTGATATTAGGATTCCGTAAAGTGCCAAGTACGACCACTCGAGGATCTTCGTTTCCAGTCGACGTTTTCACACATCAACGGTGAGTTCATACCCCTACATTTTCCGTGTTTTTAATGTTTTCAGGGGGGAATACAAGCCAAACTCAAAGTATTTTATTAAGTTTTAAACTTATTAACACAACTCAACGATTTCCATGTTTAATAACTTACTCGGATATTTTTATCTCTTTTGTAATATGTTGAGCATAAGGGAAATTGTTATTTTGGAAATCTCACTTCATAGCTTTCAGAAAGGACTTACAAAACATTTTCCATAACAACACTAGTAAACTATAATGGGTATAGTTTGGGATAACCCTCTAGGCAGTTTCTACCAAATCAGATTTCATGGATGAATATATATAAACTATGGTCGATTTAGTTTATGATATATGTTTTCTCAGAAGTATAAAGTATATTTATTCAAGAATAATTACTGTTTTATACTGTTTCTAGCTTGTAACAAGATTATACATAATTGTGAGGCTCTACTTCAATACTGTACTCTTAGGTCTACAATGATAAATCCTTTTTGTATAACCAGAGTCTCCTGGAGGGAGAGCGTGAGATTTGTGAATATATCTATTCGGGACTGACAATCCCACACCTGAACTGCTAGCTACAGTTAGGCGGGCACGCCTGGGGTGAACAAATGTCATTTAGCTTAACGCCTGAAGAACGTTATTAAGGTCACTCGGTCATATCAAGTATGGTTATACGACTCGCAAATAAGTATAAACTAACTTTGGTTTACGGACTCTACCCTTCATTTGTTTTATTTTAGTAATAAAACTACCTTCATATATACACTGATAGTAATCAGGGATTTCTAAACTTACATCTCTACCTCTAGGACGGATAACCTGTTTCAGGGAAAATATGGGATTTTCCCAGGATAACACTGGCATTTCTAAAACTAATGATTTATCTTCTACTAATAGATACTCTTTCAACACTACTTTTCATAAGAAAATATGGGATTTTCTTGAGAAACGCTTTTCAAAAGAATTAAAGAACCTCTTCCACCAAAACTAAATGCTTATGAACTCACTAGCTTTATGCTGATATTCTTTCAAAACTGCTTGTATTCTCAGGAAATCAGTAGACAGGTACCTGCTGGATTTTGAGAAGCTGGAGCAATAAGAGTCTTATGTTTATATTTTACATACTATTTGATGTAATCCAAACAAGTTTCAAAACTGAGTGTAAACCTTTTCATATATGTATTCACTGTAATGGTTGTTTTGCTATGATTGCTATTATACATTGGTTGTGATGTTATACATGACCTCCTCCACCCCGGAACGATTCCGCCATTCTGGTTTCGGGGTGTGACAGATTGGTATCAGAGCCCTTGTTTATAGCGAACTAAGTATACCGAACCTTAGATGGTATACAACTATAAACACTAAGGGGCCTAAGTGTTCTAAACTAAAAGTATATTTTCGAAATATAAAAGCATTTTGTAACAAATATACTAGTATGCATACATAACAGAACCATAGTCATAGATAGAATGAAACAAAAGTATCTGGATGTTGGGACGCTGCGGTTAAACTTGGGCAGTTATGTAATCATGTCTAGGGTGAATATAGCCTGATCAACTATATTCAGTCAAGACATGACCAACATGTGCTTGGGAGTGATTGTGGTGTTACAGCAGGCCTAAAACTTACCAAAAACATTGATCATAAAATACTATAGGAGTATTTTAGCTAGAGCCAAATTATGTATATAGATTCATTCCAAGTGTTACTACCTCTTCTTCCTTAAGCGATAATTTATTTACATTAGTAAATTTTTTGTGCTTATCGCTTGGTAGAACACTTTTATTATCAGGATGAGACATATTTTATTTCATATATCTTGAGGACTTACCATCCTCTTCTTCCTGGTTGTTTCTAGAACAAGATGCCTCCCCGACCAAGACCCATCAGAAGAAACGACGACACTCCACCACCACCACCCCCCCCCCAGTTCGACTCCGTCATGTTCCAGGCAGTAGTTACCGCCGCTGTAACAGCAGCAATGGCACAAGTGAACTCTGGTGGGGCCGGAGGTGGAACCGACCCCCAACGGCAAGACGGAAGTCAGGGACATCAAAAGGAGTGTTCCTACAAGGACTTCATGACCGCGAAACCCAAGCCCTTCGACAGAAATGGAGGTGTTATCGCTCTAACTCGATGGTTCGAGAAGATTCAATCCATCTTCGAAATTTGCGCCTGTTCCGAAGCCAACAAGGTGAAGTTCGCCGCCTGCACTTTCACCGACAGAGCCTTGACCTGGTGGAATGGTCGAGTCAAAACCCTAACCCTGCCAGTGGCAAATGCCATGGGTTGGGAAAGACTGAAGGAACTCATGCTTGCGGAATACTGCCCGAGGGGATAAGTGCAAAAGTTGGAGCACGAATTCTGGAACTTGAAGATGAAGGGTTCCGACATCGCTGCCTACACCGCTAGATTCTGTGATCTGGCTCTCCTCTGTCCGGGAATGGTCACCCCGGAAAGCAAGAAAATCGAGAGGTACATCTGGGGACTGACACAACCAACCAAAGGAAATGTCTTGGTTGCTAGACCGGCCACGTTTGAGAGCGCCAAGGATCTGGCACAGACTCTGATCGATCATGGGATCGATCTGGATGAGGCATCAGCGGTCGCTGAGCCACAAAAGGAGAGTGGTGAGAAGAAGAAGAAATTTTGGAACAAACGCAAGGGCCAATCTCCTCATGAGCCCTCCAAGAAGCAACAAACAGTGGCAGTCCACGCTGCTACTACTCCTACTGCTGCTCCCACTGCTGTTCCAACCACCCAAGCTCCTACCGGTGGCTATGCTGGAAACCTACCTCTGTGCAACAAGTGTACCTTTCATCATCACGGACCTTGCCGTGATTTAAATTGCAACAACTGTGGAAGGAAGGGACACATGGCCCGATACTACAGAGCACCGGCCCAACCAATCAATCCGACTCCTGGAGCGGGTGCCAGCCAAGCCTGCTATGGATGTGGAGAAGTTAGGCATTTCAAAAGAAACTGCCCCAAAGCGACAATGGGCGGCAATACCGGAAGAGTGATGGTGATGGGCCAAGAGGAAGCAGTCGCTGATCCTACCGTTGTTTCGGGTACGTTCCTCCTTGACAACTCTTATGCATGCATCCTCTTCGATTCTGGTGCGGAGAGGAGTTTTGTTAGTCATGCATTCAAACATCTAATCAAATGTAAATCCCAACCTCTAACCGAAACATTTACCGTCGAGATGGCTAACGGAAATAAGGAGAGTACTAACGAAATATTCATAGGCTGTACTCTTACTCTATACGGTCATTCCTTTTCCATCAACCT